TAGTATTAATGTGATTTACTGAACGTACCATTGCTGTTCTTTGGGCGTGATAACGGTCATCATCCTCAGCTGACGAAACATGTCCATAGCGTGTGCTTGTCGCCGTCCAGTCCTTTTGTTAAGGCTTCTTAACCGCGATCTGTATTTGTGGCTGAGTTATTGGCTTAAATAACTCAGCACCAAAACCACAACTTCAGTCAACTCCATAGCGTGTCTGACTGAGGTCGGAAGGTAAACAGAAGCATACAGCGGAAGCGGAAGTTTTTTTTCTTCTTCTCTCGGTTTTTTGGCGGATTGCAACTTTAAGGTGCATACCGCCACCTACTGTACTCGCCGTGAATTGTTTGCGGCCTGCCAGGAAAAGCTAAGCAGAAGAAGAAGAAGTGACGTCAGCGGCTCATTTGCCTAATCCACCCCCAGGAACTCATTTTGGTGTGAACGCGATCTGCTTTAGTTCGTCAGAACTAAAAGAACTCTCATGAACTAAAGTTCTCAGGAACTACTGTGGGAAAAGTACTTGGTGTGAACGCGCCTATAGAGAGAGGTTCTTCAGAATTGACGTGGCAACTCTACCGTGGAGTCAGAACCTCTGACTCTTGGATTTGTGATGTGAATCCTCCGGCCGAATACTCTGAATAAACCCATCAGTGTTTGACATCAAAGCTCCAACTCTCACACCGTGTCTCCTTCCTGAGTCGGTGACTCCATGCATTACTACACAGAAGTTTCCTCCACAGTGAGAACATCTTTAAATATAATAGGTTAGCAATTGAGGATGTGTAGACATTCTTGGTATATTTCCATGTTTTCTTTCCATTGTCTTTGGATGTACTGCTGTTCTTGTTTATCCTCACAACCCTTTAATCTACATTTAAAGTATTGGAGCAATATAGTAAATAAGTTTTTCTATTTTATAAGTGTCCTAATTACATCATATGAGTTGTATTTAGTCTACTGTTATGTAAACGCATAAAGGTGCGCCACATTTGCACTTCAATGCCATGCGATCTACCCACACTACCTTTGCGATCGACGTATTGGGCACCCCCGATCTACATGATCAATATACAGGGCTTACTTTGTAGACATTAGACAAGTCTTAACGAGGCCCACCTGTTGCAAGCTAATTGAACACAGGTGCAAGCATTAGCTGAGGCTGCACCTGCCTTGTTGATTGGCTGCCTGGTGGTAATATGTGCCAGTATTAAAAGCCCTTTCTCATGCTTCATTGCCAAGTGCTCTCCACCCGCAGTGAGTTTGATTTTACAGAATGGGTATCCTATGAGCACCTATCACAGCTGTATTGGTTGTCACAGCACCTGCTGATGCTCAAATAGTTGCGGCAAAGAAAGTTATCTCATCTCTTCACATTACCAGCAGTCATGTGCAAGAGAAAAGGCGCTGGTGTTTACCTGGCTGCAGCTGTTATTCTGACGTGTTATTTTGCGCAAACTATAGATTGTTATCGTCTGAAGAAAAGAGAAAGACGAGAAGGGAGAAAAGATGCCGAAACAAAAAATGGGTTCCAAGAGGGGACAATTGTTTTCGGGAGAGCTTTTGAAAAAGGGTCAGGACTTGATTCTCAAGTCACAGGCGGGACCAAGAAGTCATCCTCAAACGCTTATGTGGAGGATGAAGGTGCTTATCAAGCAGACTCTGCAGGTAAAAATATTTTGATTACTTATTGAAGGGTTTTGTTATTTTGCTTGAATTGTTTTGCTTCTCTTTAAAGTACAAACTATTGAAAAAAAAAAATCTATATATATTTTATATTCGCCTTCAGGCTGGATGAGCCCAACACAAGACGCCAGTCCCAAAGACTCTTCATGGATGAACATGTCGCCCTCACTGCAGTGTGGTACGGGCCAGTTGAAGTTCAGAGTGGTGGGATCAGGAATTTCACAATTTGCGGTAGAACAAGGTAAATTAATAGCCATAATATCCTAAATGTAGACTTGATTTTATCTCTACCAATGATATAAACACTGAACCTTTTTACCCCACAGGAAATGCACCTCCAATGCCTCTGTCCCAGGTCCCGTCTACCTGTGGCTACAGCATGCAGAGGAACTCATATGCACTTGTCATGTTGGTTCCCTATGATGGCTGCAACATGGTTCAAGAGGTAATGTGAAACTGATTTAAAGAGTGAGGAAGTGAGTTTAAAATTACGATGGCTAGTGCTGTGAATTGTTATAGTTATGAATGGTGTAACGAGAGCTAAAAAAAATAAATGTTTAATCTGCATCATATTGATCGCAAGCGAAAATGTGTTTTCAGCTTTTCAAATGCGAGTTGTTTTTCGTTTGCTTTCAAATGTACTGATTAACTATGTTTTTTTGGATGGGGACCGACATTCAAATATGTTGCATCATGATGATCTATTTAGAAAATATAGCATGAGATTAATCTTTTGCCTTGTACAGTCGGATTGTAACATTGACAGGTTTGTGTGATTCCTTGCGGTTTCTAATTGTATGTTTTTCTCCCAAAGGGTGCAAGTTATGTACTCCCGATGCGTTGGCAAGGAATTCCAGTCTCTCTATGGTGTTCCAAACCTGCCTCACCTCCTGCCTCACCTACTGCCGCACCTCCTGCTTCCAAAACGACTTCCCCCCAATTCCCCTGTAGCTCAGATGCCTCAAAACCCTCTGATGCCTCAAAACCCTCTGATGCCTCAAAACCCTCTGATGCCTCGCCTCAAAACCCCCAGATGCCTCAAAACCCCCAGATGCCTCAAAACCCCCAGATGCCTCAAAACCCCAGATGCCTCAAAACCCCCAGATGCCTCAAAACCCCCAGATGCCTCAAAACCCCCAGATGCCTCAATTCCCTCAGATGCCTCAATTCCCTCAGATGCCTCAATTCCCTCAGATGCCTCAATTCCCTCAGATGCCTCAAAACCCTCAGATGCCTCAAAACCCCCAGATGCCTCAAAACCCCCAGATGCCTCAAAACCCCAGATGCCTCAAAACCCCCAGATGCCTCAAAACCCCCAGATGCCTCAAAACCCCCAGATGCCTCAAAACCCCCAGATGCCTCAAAACCCCCAGATGCCTCAAAACCCCCAGATGCCTCAAAACCCCCAGATGCCTCAAAACCCCCAGATGCCTCAAAACCCCCAGATGCCTCAAGACCCCCAGATGCCTCAAGACCCCCAGATGCCTCAAGACCCCCAGATGCCTCAAGACCCCCAGATGCCTCAAGACCCCCAGATGCCTCAAGACCCCCAGATGCCTCAAGACCCCCAGATGCCTCAAGACCCCCAGATGCCTCAAGACCCCCAGATGCCTCAAGACCCCCAATACCCTCAAGACCCCCAAAACCCTCAATACCCTCAATACCCTCAGATGCCTCAATACCCTCAGATGCCTCAATACCCTCAGATGCCTCAAGACCCTCAGATGCCTCAAGACCCTCAGATGCCTCAGAACCCTCAAAACCCTCAAAACCCTCAGATGCCTCAAAACCCTCAGATGCCTCAAAACCCTCAGATGCCTCAAAACCCTCAGATGCCTCAAAACCCTCAGATGCCTCAAAACCCTCAAAACCCCCAGATGCCTCAAAACCCCAGATGCCCCAAAACCCCCAGATGCCCCAAAACCCCCAGAACCCCCAAAACCCCCAGATGCCTCAAAACCCCCAGATGCCTCAATTCCCTCAGATGCCTCAATTCCCTCAGATGCCTCAATTCCCTCAGATGCCTCAATTCCCTCAGATTGCCTCAAAACCCCAGAGCCTCAAGACCCCCAGATGCCTCAAGACCCCCAGATGCCTCAAGACCCCCAGATGCCTCAAGACCCCCAGAATGCCTCAAGACCCCCAGATGCCTCAAGACCCCCAGATGCCTCAAGACCCCCAGATGCCTCAAGACCCCCAGATGCCTCAAGACCCCCAGATGCCTCAAGACCCCCAGATGCCTCAAGACCCCCAGATGCCTCAAGACCCCCAGATGCCTCAAGACCCCCAGATGCCTCAAAACCCCCAGATGCCCCAAAACCCCCAAAACCCCCAAAACCCCCAGATGCCTCAAAACCCCCAGATGCCTCAATTCCCTCAGATGCCTCAATTTCCTCAGATGCCTCAATTTCCTCAGATGCCTCAATTCCCTCAGATGCCTCAAAACCCCCAGATGCCTCAAGACCCCCAGATGCCTCAAGACCCCCAGATGCCTCAAGACCCCCAGATGCCTCAAGACCCCCAGATGCCTCAAGACCCCCAGATGCCTCAAGACCCCCAGATGCCTCAAGACCCCCAGATGCCTCAAGACCCCCAGATGCCTCAAGACCCCCAGATGCCTCAAGACCCCCAGATGCCTCAAGACCCCCAGATGCCTCAAGACCCCAGATGCCCTCAAGACCCCCAGATGCCTCAAGACCCCCAATACCCTCAGATGCCTCAAAACCCTCAATACCCTCAGATGCCTCAAAACCCTCAGATGCCTCAAGACCCTCAGATGCCTCAAGACCCTCAGATGCCTCAAGACCCTCAGATGCCTCAAAACCCTCAATACCCTCAGATGCCTCAAAACCCTCAATACCCTCAGATGCCTCAAAACCCTCAATACCCTCAGATGCCTCAAAACCCTCAATACCCTCAGATGCCTCAATACCCTCAGATGCCTCAAGACCCTCAATACCCTCAGATGCCTCAAGACCCTCAGATGCCTCAAGACCCTCAGATGCCTCAAGACCCTCAGATGCCTCAAGACCCTCAATACCCTCAGAACCCTCAATACCCTCTGATGCCTCAAGACCCTCAATACCCTCAGAACCCTCAATACCCTCTGATGCCTCCAAACCCTCTGATGCCTCCAAACCCTCCAAACCCTCTGATGCCTCCAAACCCTCTGATGCCTCCAAACCCTCTGATGCCTCCAAACCCTCTGATGCCTCCAAACCCTCCAAACCCTCTGATGCCTCCAAACCCTCTGATGCCTCCAAACCCTCTGATGCCTCCAAACCCTCAAAACCCTCAGATGCCTCAAAACCCTCAGATGCCTCAAAACCCTCAGATGCCTCAAAACCCTCAGATGCCTCAAAACCCTCAGATGCCTCAAAACCCTCAGATGCCTCAATACCCTCCGATGCCTCAATACCCTCCGATGCCTCAATACCCTCCGATGCCTCAATACCCTCCGATGCCTCAATACCCTCCGATGCCTCAATACCCTCCGATGCCTCAATACCATGAGATGCCTCAATACCATGAGATGCCTCAAAACCCTGAGATGCCTCAAAACCCTAAGATGCCTGAGGCAACGACCACACGGCCTACAACTGCAAAGGCGACTCAAATTCCTAAAATTCCTGCACTGCCTCTGATTCCTCAATACACTCAGATGCCTCAATACGCTCTGATGCCTCAATACCATCTGATGCGTCAATACCCTAATATGCCGGAGACAACAACAGCAACGACCACACGGACTACAACTGCAAAGGCGACTCAAATTCCTAAAATTCCTGCACTGCCTCAGATGCCTCAATACGCTCATATGCCTCAATACCATCTGATGCGTCAATACCCTAAGATGCCGGAGACAACAACAGCAACGACCACACGGACTACAACTGCAAAGGCGACTCAAATTCCTAAAATTCCTGCACTGCCTCAGATGCCTCAATACGCTCATATGCCTCAATACCATCTGATGCGTCAATACCCTAAGATGCCGGAGACAACAACAGCAATGACCACACGGCCTACAACTGCAAAGGCGACTCAAATTCCTGCACTGCCTCAGATGCCTCAAAACCCTCAGATGCCTCAAAACCCTCAGATGCCTCAATACGCTCATATGCCGTTTCCACAATATATGCCGATGTATCCTCCCTTTAATCCTCTTTATCCTCCCAAATATCCAGCTACAAAGCCAAAAACTACTACAACTAAAGGCTAAAAATTCCTTATCTTAGCTTCCACCATCTATGCCTTACTATCATCTTTAACCTACGATCCCTCCCATCCCCAATATCCAACCACTCCAGCTACCACTGTGAAACCAGATCCCCTGCCCACTCCGGCACCCCATCCTCCTTTTCATCCCCATGTTCACTTGCCCATATCATTGCTGTCTCCTTTTCCTCCTCCACGCTACCTTACTTAAACAGTTCTAATAAAAGTTTTGAACAGAGACGCTTTCCAGTTTGTGCTTTTTTTTTTTTTAACCTTCAACTACCCAAGAGACTCTTTATTCCAGGCTCTTCAAGAAGTCTCATTTGGTTTGTGAATGAGTGAATAGTCCATATTGAGAAAATGACATTTAATTTAAACAGAGAAATTGTGCTGACAAATGATTAACTTAAAGGGGACCTATCATGCAAAATGCACTTTTGTACGTCTTTTATACATGAATATGTGTCCCTGGTGTTCCAGGGAACTCACCAAGTGTCAGAAAACACAACCCTCTCTATTTTCCTCCATACCCAAATCTCTAAAAAAGGGGCTGCAACGGATCTGATACAGACTGATCCAGATTTGAACACTTCTGTCGTCACAGAAGTGGCGCTACGGCTATTGGGCCAACTCTCCACCTATCAGGGGAATGTGGGGTTGGGCCATTGCCGCTCGAAAGCGCTGGAGACGCTGTAGTACATATGCCAGGCCTGTAAGTGGCGCTGTAGTCTGCCACAAAAGCAGCGAAGAAGACTTCCCGCCTATAGTTACCATGGTTACCCTTCTGTTTATTCTCCGCTGTGGCTTTTTTTTCTCCCTCCCCGAGGCAAGCGTTTGCTCCCGCTGCTTTAATTCAATGCAATCCCTCCCCATCGAGGCAAGCACTGTAATTCTCTCCGGTTAGTCCACCAGCAGATGACAAACACCCACCTCTCCGCCTCTTCCAAGGAACGAGGGGACCGTGCGGCAGAGTTTCAGTTTCTTTCGCCGGTCAAGATGTCCGTTAAAGTTTAAATCTTCCGGACAAAATTAGAAAAGTGCCGGTCAAAGGTCTTCGTTATTTATTGAGCTTTAAAAACAAATGAATAACGACTCTATAGGCCTATAATAAAACCATAGACTGTGTGTGTTCAAGGTTCAAGGTTCTTTATTGTCAATCTGACATAGCTACAGAGTAATTATGCAGTTGAAAATCTTATGTCACAGGCTTCTCCAACAATGCAACATAATAACATAACATAACAATAAGAGCATGAGCAATACAAAAATAATAATAGTTATAAAAATGAAATAAAGTTATGATGTGGAATAGTGCAGTATGAGTCTATATACAAGTTATTGGAATGATATATATATATTAGGTATTAGATACATACTACATACTACAGATGTCTCAAAACCCCCATATGCCTCAAAAACCCCCAGATGCCTCAAAACCCCCAGATGCCTCAAAACCCCCAGATGCCTCAAAACCCCCAGATGCCCCAAAACCCCCAGATGCCTCAAAACCCCCAAAACCCGCAGATGCCTCAAAACCCCCAGATGCCTCAATTCCCTCAGATGCCTCAAAACCCTCAGATGCCTCAAAACCCCCAGATGCCTCAAAACCCCCAGATGCCTCAAGACCCCCAGATGCCTCAAGACCCCCAGATGCCTCAAGACCCCCAGATGCCTCAAGACCCCCAGATGCCTCAAGACCCCCAGATGCCTCAAGACCCCCAGATGCCTCAAGACCCCCAGATGCCTCAAGACCCCCAGATGCCTCAAAACCCTCAATACCCTCAGATGCCTCAAAACCCTCAGATGCCTCAAGACCCTCAGATGCCTCAAGACCCTCAGATGCCTCAATACCCTCAGATGCCTCAAAACCCTCAATACCCTCAGATGCCTCAAAACCCTCAATACCCTCAGATGCCTCAAAACCCTCAGATGCCTCAAAACCCTCTGACGCCTCAAAACCCTCAAAACCCTCTGATGTCTCAAAACCCTCAGATGTCTCAAAACCCTCAAAACCCTCTGTCTCAAAACCCTCTGTCTCAAAACCCTCTGTCTCAAGACCCTCAGATGCCTCAAGACCCTCAGATGCCTCAAGACCCTCAGATGCCTCAAGACCCTCAGATGCCTCAAGACCCTCAGATGCCTCAAGACCCTCAGATGCCTCAAGACCCTCAGATGCCTCAAGACCCTCAGATGCCTCAAGACCCTCAGATGCCTCAAGACCCTCAGATGCCTCAAGACCCTCAATACCCTCAGAACCCTCAATACCCTCAGAACCCTCAAAACCCTCAGATGCCTCAAAACCCTCTGATGCCTCAATTCCCCCTGATGCCTCAAAACCCTCAGATGCCTCAAAACCCTCAGATGCCTCAAAACCCTCCGATGCCTCAAAACCCTCCGATGCCTCAAAACCCTCTGATGCGTCAAACCCCCCAGATGCGTCAAACCCCCCAGATGCCTCAAACCCCCCAGATGCCTCAAACCCCCCAGATGCCTCAAACCCCCCAGATGCCTCAAACCCCCCAGATGCCTCAAACCCCCCAGATGCCTCCAAACCCTCAATACCCTCAGATGCCTCCAAACCCTCAATACCCTCAGATGCCTCCAAACCCTCAATACCCTCAGATGCCTCCAAACCCTCAATACCCTCAGATGCCTCCAAACCCTCAAAACCCTCAGATGCCTCAAAACCCTCAAAACCCTCTGATGCCTCAAAACCCTCAAAACCCTCAGATTCCTCAACACTCTCAGATGCCTCCAAACCCTCCAAACCCTCTGATGCCTCCAAACCCTCTGATGCCTCCAAACCCTCTGATGCCTCCAAACCCTCTGATGCCTCCAAACCCTCTGATTCCTCAGATGCCTCAGATGCCTCAGATGCCTCAAAACCCTCAGATGCCTCAAAACCCTCAGATGCCTCAAAACCCTCAGATGCCTCAATACGCTCAGATGCCTCAATACGCTCAGATGCCTCAATACGCTCAGATGCCTCAATACGCTCAGATGCCTCAATACGCTCAGATGCCTCAATACGCTCAGATGCCTCAATACCCTCCGATGCCTCAATACCCTCCGATGCCTCAATACCCTCCGATGCCTCAATACCCTCAGATGCCTCAATACCATGAGATGCCTCAATACCATGAGATGCCTCAAAACCCTAAGATGCCTGAGGCAACGACCACACGGCCTACAACTGCAAAGGCGACTCAAATTCCTAAAATTCCTGCACTGCCTCTGATTCCTCAATACACTCAGATGCCTCAATACGCTCTGATGCCTCAATACCATCTGATGCGTCAATACCCTAAGATGCCGGAGACAACAACAGCAACGACCACACGGACTACAACTGCAAAGGCGACTCAAATTCCTAAAATTCCTGCACTGCCTCAGATGCCTCAATACGCTCATATGCCTCAATACCATCTGATGCGTCAATACCCTAAGATGCCGGAGACAACAACAGCAACGACCACACGGACTACAACTGCAAAGGCGACTCAAATTCCTAAAATTCCTGCACTGCCTCAGATGCCTCAATACGCTCATATGCCTCAATACCATCTGATGCGTCAATACCCTAAGATGCCGGAGACAACAACAGCAATGACCACACGGCCTACAACTGCAAAGGCGACTCAAATTCCTAAAATTCCTGCACTGCCTCAGATGCCTCAATACGCTCATATGCCTCAAAACCCTCAGATGCCTCAATACGCTCATATGCCGTTTCCACAATATATGCCGATGTATCCTCCCTTTAATCCTCTTTATCCTCCCAAATATCCAGCTACAAAGCCAAAAACTACTACAACTAAAGGCTAAAAATTCCTTATCTTAGCTTCCACCATCTATGCCTTACTATCATCTTTAACCTACGATCCCTCCCATCCCCAATATCCAACCACTCCAGCTACCACTGTGAAACCAGATCCCCTGCCCACTCCGGCACCCCATCCTCCTTTTCATCCCCATGTTCACTTGCCCATATCATTGCTGTCTCCTTTTCCTCCTCCACGCTACCTTACTTAAACAGTTCTAATAAAAGTTTTGAACAGAGACGCTTTCCAGTTTGTGCTTTTTTTTTTTTTAACCTTCAACTACCCAAGAGACTCTTTATTCCAGGCTCTTCAAGAAGTCTCATTTGGTTTGTGAATGAGTGAATAGTCCATATTGAGAAAATGACATTTAATTTAAACAGAGAAATTGTGCTGACAAATGATTAACTTAAAGGGGACCTATCATGCAAAATGCACTTTTGTACGTCTTTTATACATGAATATGTGTCCCTGGTGTTCCAGGGAACTCACCAAGTGTCAGAAAACACAACCCTCTCTATTTTCCTCCATACCCAAATCTCTAAAAAAGGGGCTGCAACGGATCTGATACAGACTGATCCAGATTTGAACACTTCTGTCGTCACAGAAGTGGCGCTACGGCTATTGGGCCAACTCTCCACCTATCAGGGGAATGTGGGGTTGGGCCATTGCCGCTCGAAAGCGCTGGAGACGCTGTAGTACATATGCCAGGCCTGTAAGTGGCGCTGTAGTCTGCCACAAAAGCAGCGAAGAAGACTTCCCGCCCATAGTTACCATGGTTACCCTTCTGTTTATTCGCCGCTGTGGCTTTTTTTTCTCCCTCCCCGAGGCAAGCGTTTGCTCCCGCTGCTTTAATTCAATGCAATCCCTCCCCATCGAGGCAAGCACTGTAATTCTCTCCGGTTAGTCCACCAGCAGATGACAAACACCCACCTCTCCGCCTCTTCCAAGGAACGAGGGGACCGTGCGGCAGAGTTTCAGTTTCTTTCGCCGGTCAAGATGTCCGTTAAAGTTTAAATCTTCCGGACAAAATTAGAAAAGTGCCGGTCAAAGGTCTTCGTTATTTATTGAGCTTTAAAACAAATGAATAACGACTCTATAGGCCTATAATAAAACCATAGACTGTGTGTGTTCAAGGTTCAAGGTTCTTTATTGTCAATCTGACATAGCTACAGAGTAATTATGCAGTTGAAAATCTTATGTCACAGGCTTCTCCAACAATGCAACATAATAACATAACATAATAACAATAAGAGCATGAGCAATACAAAAATAATAATAGTTATAAAAATGAAATAAAGTTATGATGTGGAATAGTGCAGTATGAGTCTATATACAAGTTATTGGAATGATATATATATATTAGGTATTAGATACATACTACTGAGTAGCAGTTGAATGTTTGAAGTTGTTTCAACAGTTCAATTTTTTAACAGTCTCACTGCCCGCGGGAAGAAACTGTCTCCGAATCTTCTTGTCCTTGCCAGGATGCTGCGGTAACGTCTGCCAGACGGCAACAGAAAGAACAGTTTGTGGCTGGGGTGATGGGGGTCTTTGATAATCCGTAGTGATTTCTTCCTGAGCCGCTGGGAGTAAAGGTCCTCCATGGATGGCAGCTCCGTCCTGGTGATGTGCTGTGCAGTTTTCACCACCCTCTGTAAAGCCTTACGATCGAGGTCGGTGCAGCTGCCGTACCAGGCCGTCATGCTGCCAGTGAGGATACTCTCTATCGTGCACCTGTAGAAGTTGCAGAGTATCCTGGAATCCATTTTGAACCTCCTCAACCTGCGGAGGAAGAAGAGCCGCTGTCGAGCTTTCTTGGTGATGGTGGTGGTGTGAAGAGACCATGTCAGGTCCTCAGTGATGTGGACCCCAAGGAACCTGAAGCTTTTGACTCTCTCCACCGTAGTCCCATTGATGGCGATGGGGGCTTGTCCCTCTCCCTGCTGCTTCCTGTAGTCCACAATCAGCTCCTTTGTTTTGCTGATGTTGAGATGGAGGTTGTTCTCCTGGCACCAAGATGTCAGGTTTTCGACCTCCTCTCTGTACGCCGTCTCGTCATCGTCTGTGATCTGGCCGATGACGGTCGTGTCATCAGCAAACTTCACGATGGTGTTGGAGCTGTGTGTGGCCACGCAGTCGTGGGTGAACAGGGAGTAGAGGAGAGGGCTGAGCACGCAGCCTTGAGGGGCACCGGTGTTGAGAATCAGGGTGGAGGATGTGATATTTCCCACCCGCACTGCCTGGGGTCTGCCCGTCAGGAAGTTCAGGATCCAGTCACAGAGGGCGCTGTTGAGCCCGAGGTCTCTGAGCTTGATGGCCAGCTTGGAGGGCACAATGGTGTTGAATGCTGAACTGTAGTCAATGAACAGCATTCTCACATATGTGTTCCTGTTCTTCGGGTCCAGGTGTGAGAGGGCAGTGTGGAGGGTGAGGGCTATGGCGTCGTCTGTGGACCTGTTTGCTCTGTAGACAAACTGCAGGGGGTCCAGAGATTCAGGGAGGGAGGAGGTGATGAATAATTTGACTAACCGCTCAAAGCACTTCATTATGATGGAGGTGAGTGCTACTGGGCGGTAGTCGTTGGGGCAGGTGATGATTGTCTTTTTGGGGACAGGAATGATGGTGGAGTGTTTAAGACATGTGGGGACTACAGACTGCAGCAGGGACCTGTTGAAGATGTCTGTGAACACCTCTGCCAGCTGAACTGCACACACCCTGAGAACACGGCCAGGGATGCCATCAGGTCCAGGAGCCTTGTGTGGGTTAACCCTTTTAAAGGATTTACACACATCTGCCCTATTTAAAACAAAAGGGCAGTGTAGCTCCTGGTCCCTCTGTACCTCCACAGCCTGGCTGCTCTCAAAGCGTGCAAAAAAACTGTTTAGCTCATCTGGGAGAGATGCGCACGCAGACACTCCCGCAGCACCCCCCGCTGCTCCTTTGTAGTCAGTCATTGTCCTTAGTCCCGCCCACATATTCCTAGTGTTACAGCCTTTGAAGTCAGATTCCACCTTGTCTTTGTACTGTCTCTTTGCATTTTGAATTGCTCTCCGGAGATCATACCTAGACTTCCTGTACTCCTCCAAATCTCCCGCTGTGTGCGCGAGAGTGCGCGCTTTCAGTTTGCCGCGCACCTCACCGTTTACCCAGGGCTTTTGATTTGGGAATGTCCGTACAGAAACCTTCGGTACCACGTCATCGATGCATTTCCCAATGTAGCAGATGACAGTGTCCGTGTGTGTGTTGATGTTATTGTCCTCAAACACACTCCAATCCGTAGATGCAAAGCAATCCTGCAGTGCTGAATCTGACTCCTCGCTCCATCGTTGTACTGTCCTTGTTATCGGTCTGTCCCTTTTAAGTTTCTGCTTGTACGCAGGCAACAACAGTAGTGAGATATGGTCTGATTTGCCGAAGGGAGGGCGAGGGAGAGCCTTATATCCATTCCGGAAAGGGGAATAAACATGGTCCAGTATGTTTCCCCCGCGCGTCGGGAAGTTGATGTGTTGGTAATATTTTGGCAAAACCTTCTTCATGTTGGCGGTGTTGAAATCTCCGGCCACAACGAACGCCGCATCTGGCCGTGAAGTCTCGGTTTTATCAATAAACCCAAACAGCTGATCGAGTGCCGTGTTGTTGTCGGCGAGTGGCTGCGGCGGGATATACACTGCTGTTATCACAACAGATGTGAATTCCCTCGGCAGATGGAAGGCCCGACATGAGATCATGAGGTGCTCTAGCTGTGCGGAACAGTCCGATGAAATAATCTTCACATCTGAGCACCAGTTGTTGTTAGTCATTACACACACACCGCCTCCCTTACTTTTCCCCGGGTTAGCAGTCCGGTCCTGACGAAAAATAGAGAATCCGTCAGGGACAATAGCGGAGTCCGGGATAGCGGGGTTGAGCCAAGTCTCAGTGAGAATTAACACGTTACAGTTCTTAATGTCCCGTTGAAAAGCAATCCGGCTTCTGAGTTCATCTAGCTTATTTTCAATGGATTGAACATTAGCCAGAAGAATACTCGGAAGAGGGGGCCGATTTTCTCGTTTTCTCAGTCTGACCAGCAACCCGGCCCGGCATCCCCGCTTTGTCTTCTTCTTGCGTCTCTCAGGTAGAACAGCAACAGGTAGCCATGGTGAATCTCCATTGTTTGTCGGAGGGTTAATATTGTCCACGAAGTTTCGCAATTGGAAAAGTTCCTCTCTGCTATATTGTATGGCAGAGTAGGTGCGGTCGGCTAGCATGTTGCGAACCATGGTAAAAGTAAAACGGCAAAAGTAAAAGAAATATGTACAAAATACGAAAATGGGCAAAGTTGGAGAGGAGCACAAAGACGATGCGGCCATCTTCACCGGCGCATCATAGGTGTAACCTATGTGTGTGTATATATATATATATATATACGGAGATCTCTTTTTCTCCCCCTCTTGACTTGATCAGAGCACGGCTTCCCTCTCCTGCAGGGGGGCGTGGTCAGCTGCAGCTCACAGATGTGCCCCGTAAACAACACATAGAGCGAAATGAGGCATGGCTAAAATGCATGATCTGTTAGGTATTTTGAAAACAGAAACGTATAAATATACCTTATATAGGTATGGCCCTACAATATATCATTTAAATATAGCATGATAGGTCCACTTTAAATTCCTACATTTATAAATTCAATTAATGTTTGGCATTTGAAGTGTTGTCATAGTGTGGCTTTGTGTCCACATGGTGGCATCATTGCTCAACCATTTCTTAGTAGGTTTTGAATTGGAACCTTTTGTGTTCACAATAGCTTTCCTTGTGTGAACAAGCTTTAAAAGGGTTGTATTTTTGAAAATGTATTTCAGTCAAAGGTAAAGTTCCATCATGTCCTTTCCTAAAATAAGTAACATCTGCTGTGTGAGGGACGCTGGCTTCACTCATTACATACACCAACTCTGAAATGGAGCATTTACAACTTTGGGCAGTTATGCAAATCAAAACATAGAACCTTCAGCATTTGTCTCTTTTTGGTTTTGTAAACTGGAGTAAGCATTACTAAATATTTGGTCTAACACTAGGTCATAAGTGTTCAAACTACACATGTAGATGTTATATTGTAAAAGTAGCCTTCATACAACTAAAAATGACTTGACAGGTGAGATCCTTAATTATTCAAGTGAAATGTCAACAATGATAGAAGCAAAACCTTTTATCCTACAGGGTGTCCTTAACACCTGTGTATTGTTTCTTTCAAATTATGGAACTAACCATAAAACAACATCTCTGGTCCAAGTCAGGCTGGGACACTGATGCATGTTCACCATCCCGTTACCGTCTGATTGACTTTCCTTGATGTGAAGATAAATATTTTGTCTTCTAAATAAGGGAAAGCATTGTTATACATCTAATTATTGTGGGTCAAAGTAGATTAACAAATCAAAATAGTCAGACTCTTCCCTTGCATTCATTGGTTTGTTATCGAAATCAAACCGTATGATACATTACACAAAATTATGAAGAACCAAGAATCGGGGGATATTTTATTTGAACTCTGAAAGGACTTAATGGACTTTGCATTCTCAAGCTTGTGCAAAGTTGTTTGTATACTTTTGAATAAAACTTGTATACCGCTTCGTGAATAAAGATTTGGGGGAAATATTTAATTTCTCGTTTTTTCCCCTTTCCTGTTAAGTCGGGGAAAATAACAATGGGGAATGTCTTATATTAAGAATACTTGAGGTGAGAACATCTTTTAAATATAATAGGTTAGCAATTGAGGATGTGTAGACATTCTTGGTATATTTCCATGTTTTCTTTCCATTGTCTTTGGATGTACTGCTGTTCTTGTTTATCCTCACAACCCTTTAATCTACATTTAAAGTATTGGAGCAATATAGTAAATAAGTTTTTCTATTTTCTAAGTGTCCTAATTACATCAAATGAGTTGTATTTAGTCTACTGTTATGTAAACGCATAAAGGTGCGCCGCATTTGCGCTTCAATGCCATGCGATCTACCCACACTACCTTTGCGATCGACGTATTGGGCACCCCCGATCTACATGATCAATATACAGGGCTTACTTTGTAGACATTAGACAAGTCTTAACGAGGCCCACCTGTTGCAAGCTAATTGAACACAGATGCAAGCATTAGCTGAGGCTGCACCTGCCTTGTTGATTGGCTGCCTGGTGGTAATATGTGCCAGTATTAAAAGCCCTTTCTCATGCTTCATTGCCAAGTGCTCTCCACCCGCAGTGAGTTTGATTTTACAGAATGGGTATCCTATGAGCACCTATCACAGCTGTATTGGTTGTCACAGCACCTGCTGATGCTCAAATAGTTGCGGCAAAGAAAGTTATCTCATCTCTTCACATTACCAGCAGTCATGTGCAAGAGAAAAGGCGCTGGTGTTTACCTGGCTGCAGCTGTTATTCTGACGTGTTATTTTGCGCAAACTATAGATTGTTATCGTCTGAAGAAAAGAGAAAGACGAGAAGGGAGAGAAGATGCCGAAACAACAAATGGGTTCCAAGAGGGGACAATTGTTTTCGGGAGAGCTTTTGAAAAAGGGTCAGGACTTGATTCTCAAGTCACAGGCGGGACCAAGAAGTCATCCTCAAACGCTTATGTGGAGGATGAAGGTGCTTATCAAGCAGACTCTGCAGGTAAAAATATTTTGATTACGTATTGAAGGGTTTTGTTATTTTGCTTGAATTGTTTTGCTTCTCTTTAAAGTACAGACTATTGAAAAAAAAAATATATATATATTTTATATTCGCCTTCAGGCTGGATGAGCCCAACACAAGACGCCAGTCCCAAAGACTCGTCATGGATGAGCATGTCGCCCTCACTGCAGTGTGGTACGGGCCAGTTGAAGTTCAGAGTGGTGGGATCAGGAATTTCACAATTTGCGGTAGAACAAGGTAAATTAATAGCCATAATATCCTAAATGTAGACTTGATTTATCTCTACCAATGATATAAACACTGAACCTTTTTACCCCACAGGAAATGCACCTCCAATGCCTCTGTCCCAGGTCCCGTCTACCTGTGGCTACAGCATGCAGAGGAACTCATATGCACTTGTCATGTTGGTTCCCTATGATGGCTGCAACATGGTTCAAGAGGTAATGTGAAACTGATTTAAAGAGTGAGGGAGTGAGTTTAAAATTACGATGGCTAGTGCTGTGAATTGTTATAGTTATGAATGGTGTAACGAGAGCTAAAAAAAATAAATGTTTAATCTGCATCATATTGATCGCAAGGGAAAATGTGTTTTCAGCTTTTCAAATGCGAGTTGTTTTTCGCTTGCTTTCAAATGTACTGTTTAACTATATTTTTTGGATGGGGACCGACATTCAAATATGTTGCATCATGATGATCTATTTAGAAAATATAGCATGAGATTAATCTTTTGCCTTGTACAGTCGGATTGTAACATTGACAGGTTTGTGTGATTCCTTGCGTTTTCTAATTGTATGTTTTTCTCCCAAAGGGTGGAAGTTATGTACTCCCGATGCGTTGGCAAGGAATTCCAGTCTCTCTATGGTGTTCCAAACCTGCCTCACCTCCTGCCTCACCTACTGCCGCACCTCCTGCTTCCAAAACGACTTCCCCCAATTCCCCTGTAGCTCAGATGCCTCAAAACCCTCTGATGCCTCAAAACCCTCTGATGCCTCAAAACCCTCTGATGCCTCAAAACCCCCAGATGCCTCAAAACCCCCAGATGCCTCAAAACCCACTGATGCCTCAAAACCCACTGATGCCTCAAAACCCTCTGATGCCTCAAAACCCTCTGATGCCTCAAAACCCTCTGATGCCTCAAAACCCTCTGATGTCTCAAAACCCTCTGATGCCTCAAAACCCTCCTATGCTCAAACCCTCTGATGTCTCAAAACCCTCTGATGCCTCAAAACCCTCTGATGCCTCAAAATCCCCAGATGCCTCAAAATCCCCAGATGCCTCAAAATCCCCAGATGCCTCAAAATCCCCAGATGCCTCAATTCCCCCAGATGCCTCAAGACCCCCAGATGCCTCAAGACCCCCAGATGCCTCAAGACCCCCAGATGCCTCAAGACCCCCAGATGCCTCAAGACCCCCAGATGCCTCAAAACCCTCTGATGCCTCAAAACCCTCTGATGCCTCAAAACCCTCTGATGCCTCAAGACCCTCAGATGCCTCAAGACCCTCAGATGCCTCAAGACCCTCAGATGCCTCAAGACCCTCAGATGCCTCAAGACCCTCAGATGCCTCAAGACCCTCAGATGCCTCAAGACCCTCAGATGCCTCAAAACCCTCAGATGCCTCAAAACCCTCAAAACCCTCCGATGCCTCAAAACCCTCCGATGCCTCAAAACCCTCCGATGCCTCAAAACCCTCCGATGCCTCAAAACCCTCCGATGCCTCAAAACCCTCCGATGCCTCAAAACCCTCAAAATCCTTTGATGCCTCAAAACCCCCAGATGCCTCAAAACCCCCAGATGCCTCAAAACCCCCAGATGCCTCAAAACCCCCAGATGCCTCAAAACCCCCAGATGCCTCAAAACCCCCAGATGCCTCAAGACCCCCAGATGCCTCAAGACCCCCAGATGCCTCAAGACCCCTTGATGCCTCAAAACCCTTTGATGCCTCAAAACCCTTTGATGCCTCAAAACCCTTTGATGCCTCAAGACCCTCTGATGCCTCAAGACCCTCTGATGCCTCAAGACCCTCTGATGCCTCAAGACCCTCTGATGCCTCAAGACCCTCTGATGCCTCAAGACCCTCTGATGCCTCAAGACCCTCTGATGCCTCAAGACCCTCTGATGCCTCAAGACCCTCAGATGCCTCAAAACCCTCAGATGCCTCAAAACCCTCTGATGCCTCAAAACCCTCTGATGCCTCAGATGCCTCAAAACCCTCAATACGCTCAGATGCCTCAATACGCTCAGATGCCTCAATACGCTCAGATGCCTCAATACGCTCAGATGCCTCAATACGCTCAGATGCCTCAATACCCTCAATACCCTCAGATGCCTCAATACCCTCAGATGCCTCAATACCATCTGATGCGTCAATACCCTAAGATGCCGGAGACAACAACAGCAATGACCACACGGCCTACAACTGCAAAGGTGACTCAAATTCCTAAAATTCCTGCACTGCCTCTGATGCCTCAATACGCTCATATGCCTCAATACGCTCATATGCCTCAATACGCTCATATGCCTCAATACCATCTGATGCGTCAATACCCTAAGATGCCGGAGACAACAACAGCAATGACCACACGGCCTACAACTGCAAAGGCGACTCAAATTCCTGCACTGCCTCAGATGCCTCAATACGCTCAGATGCCTCAATACGCTCAGATGCCTCAATACCCTCAGATGCCTCAATACCCTCAGATGCCTCAATACCCTCAGATGCCTCAATACCCTCAGATGCCTCAATACCCTCAGATGCCTCAATACCCTCAGATGCCTCAATACCATCTGATGCGTCAATACCCTAAGATGCCGGAGACAACAACAGCAATGACCACACGGCCTACAACTGCAAAGGCGACTCAAATTCCTGCACTGCCTCAAAACCCTCAGATGCCTCAAAACCCTCAGATGCCTCAAAACCCTCAGATGCCTCAATACGCTCATATGCCGTTTCCACAATATATGCCGATGTATCCTCCCTTTAATGCTCTTTATCCAGCTACAAAGCCAAAAACTACTACAACTAAAGGCTAAAAATCCCTTATCTTAGCTTCCACCATCTATGCCTTACTATCATCTTTAACCTACGATCCTTCCCATCCCCAATATCCTACCACTGTGAAACCAGATCCCCCGCCCACTCCGGCACCCATCCTCCTTTTCATCCCCATGTTCACTTGCCCATATCATTGCTGTCTCCTTTTCCTCCTCCACGCTACCTTACTTAAACAGTTCTAATAAAAGTTTTGAACAGAGACGCTTTCCAGTTTGTGCTTTTTTTTTTTTTAACCTTCAACTACCCAAGAGACTCTTTATTCCAGGCTCTTCAAGAAGTCTCATTTGGTTTGTGAATGAGTGAATAGTCCATATTGAGAAAATGACATTTAATTTAAACAGAGAAATTGTGCTGACAAATGATTAACTTAAAGGGGACCTATCATGCAAAATGCACTTTTGTACGTCTTTTATACATGAATATGTGTCCCTGGTGTTCCAGGGAACTCACCAAGTGTCAGAAAACACAACCCTCTCTATTTTCCTCCATACCCAAATCTCTAAAAAAGGGGCTGCAACGGATCTGATACAGACTGATCCAGATTTGAACACTTCTGTCGTCACAGAAGTGGCGCTACGGCTATTGGGCCAACTCTCCATCTATCAGGGGAATGTGGGGTTGGGCCACGGCCGGCCATTGCCGCTCGAAAGCGCTGGAGACGCTGTAGTACATATGCCAGGCCTGTAAGTGGCGCTGTAGTCTGCCACAAAAGCAGCGAAGAAGACTTCCCGCCTATAGTTACCATGGTTACCTTTCTGTTTATTCTCCGCTGTGGCTTTTTTTCTCCCTCCCCGAGGCAAGCGTTTGCTCCCGCTGCTTTAATTCAATGCAATCCCTCCCCATCGAGGCAAGCGCTGTAATTGTCTCCGGTTAGTCCACCAGCAGATGACAAACACCCACCTCTCCGCCTCTTCCAAGGAACGAGGGGACCGTGCGGCAGAGTTTCAGTTTCTTTCGCCGGTCAAGATGTCTGTTAAAGTTGAAATCTTCCGGACAAAATTAGAAAAGTGCCGGTCAAAGGTCTTCGTTATTTATTGAGCTTTAAAACAAATTAATAACGACTCTATAGGCCTATAATAATATAATAAAACCATAGACTGTGTGTGTGTGTATGTGTGTATATATATATATATATACTACACACACACACACACACACACACACAGGACGGAGATCTCTTTTACTCCCCCTCTTGACTTGATCAGAGCACGGCTTCCCTCTCCTGCAGGGGGGCGTGGTCAGCTGCAGCTCACAGATGTGCCCCGCAAACAGCACATAGAGCGAAATGAGGCATGGCTAAAATGCATGATCTGTTAGGTATTTTGAAAACAGAAACGTATAAATATACCTTATATAGGTATGGCCCTACAATATATCATTTAAATATAGCATGATAGGTCCACTTTAAATTCCTACATTTATAAATTCAATTAATGTTTGTCATTTGAAGTGTTGTCATAGTGTGGCTTTGTGTCCACATGGTGGCATCATTGCTCAACCATTTCTTAGTAGGTTTTGAATTGGAACCTTTTGTGTTCACAATAGCTTTCCTTGTGTGAACAAGCTTTAAAAGGGTTGTATTTTTGAAAATGTATTTCAGTCAAAGGTAAAGTTCCATCATGTCCTTTCCTAAAATAATTAACATCTGCTGTGTGAGGGACCCTGGCTTCACTCATTACATACACCAACTCTGAAATGGAGCATTTACAACTTTGGGCAGTTATGCAAATCAAAACAATGAACCTTTAGCATTTTTCTCTTATTGGTTTTGTAAACTGGAGTAAGCATTACTAAATATTTGGTCTAACACTAGGTCATAAGTGTTCAAACTACACATGTAGATGTTATATTGTAAAAGTAGCCTTCATACAACTAAAAATGACTTGACAGGTGAGATCCTTAATTATTCAAGTGAAATGTCAACAATGATAGAAGCAAAACCTTTTATCCTACAGGGTGTCCTTAACACCTGTGTATTGTTTCTTTCAAATTATGGAACTAACCATAAAACAACATCTCTGGTCCAAGTCAGGCTGGGACACTGATGCATGTTCACCATCCCGTTACCGTCTGATTGACTTTCCTTGATGTGAAGATAAATATTTTGTCTTCTAAATAAGGGAAAGCATTGTTATACATCTAATTATTGTGGGTCAAAGTAGATTAACAAATCAAAATAGTCAGACTCTTCCCTTGCATTCATTGGTTTGTTATCGAAATCAAACCGTATGATACATTACACAAAATCATGAAGAACCAAGAATCGGGGGATATTTTTATTTGAACTCTGAAAGGACTTAATGGACTTTGCATTCTCAAGCTTGTGCAAAGTTGTTTGTATACTTTTGAATAAAACTTGTATACCGCTTCGTGAATAAAGATTTGGGGGAAATATTTCATTTCTCGTTTTTTCCCCTTTCCTGTTAAGTCGGGGAAAATAACAATGGGGAATGTCTTATATTAAGAATACTTGAGGTGAGAACATCTTTTAAATATAATAGGTTAGCAATTGAGGATGTGTAGACATTCTTGGTATATTTCCATGTTTTCTTTCCATTGTCTTTGGATGTACTGCTGTTCTTGTTTATCCTCACAACCCTTTAATCTACATTTAAAGTATTGGAGCAATATAGTAAATAAGTTTTTCTATTTTCTAAGTGTCCTAATTACATCAAATGAGTTGTATTTAGTCTACTGTTATGTAAACGCATAAAGGTGCGCCGCATTTGCGCTTCAATGCCATGCGATCTACCCACACTACCTTTGCGATCGACGTATTGGGCACCCCCGATCTTCATGATCAATATACAGGGCTTACTTTGTAGACATTAGACAAGTCTTAACGAGGCCCACCTGTTGCAAGCTAATTGAACACAGATGCAAGCATTAGCTGAGGCTGAACCTGCCTTGTTGATTGGCTGCCTGGTGGTAATATGTGCCAGTATTAAAAGCCTTTTCTCATGCTTCATTGCCAAGTGCTCTCCACCCGCAGTGAGTTTGATTTTACAGAATGGGTATCCTATGAGCACCTATCACAGCTGTATTGGTTGTCACAGCACCTGCTGATGCTCAAATAGTTGCGGCAAAGAAAGTTATCTCATCTCTTCACATTACCAGCAGTCATGTGCAAGAGAAAAGGCGCTGGTGTTTACCTGGCTGCAGCTGTTATTCTGACGTGTTATTTTGCGCAAACTATAGATTGTTATCGTCTGAAGAAAAGAGAAAGACGAGAAGGGAGAGAAGATGCCGAAACAACAAATGGGTTCCAAGAGGGGACAATTGTTTTCGGGAGAGCTTTTGAAAAAGGGTCAGGACTTGATTCTCAAGTCACAGGCGGGACCAAGAAGTCATCCTCAAACGCTTATGTTGAGGATGAAGGTGCTTATCAAGCAGACTCTGCAGGTAAAAATATTTTGATTACGTATTGAAGGGTTTTGTTATTTTGCTTGAATTGTTTTGCTTCTCTTTAAAGTACAGACTATTGAAAAAAAAAATATATATATATTTTATATTCGCCTTCAGGCTGGATGAGCCCAACACAAGACGCCAGTCCCAAAGACTCGTCATGGATGAGCATGTCGCCCTCACTGCAGTGTGGTACGGGCCAGTTGAAGTTCAGAGTGGTGGGATCAGGAATTTCACAATTTGCGGTAGAACAAGGTAAATTAATAGCCATAATATCCTAAATGTAGACTTGATTTATCTCTACCAATGATATAAACACTGAACCTTTTTACCCCACAGGAAATGCACCTCCAATGCCTCTGTCCCAGGTCCCGTCTACCTGTGGCTACAGCATGCAGAGGAACTCGTATGCACTTGTCATGTTGGTTCCCTATGATGGCTGCAACATGGTTCAAGAGGTAATGTGAAACTGATTTAAAGAGTGAGGGAGTGAGTTTAAAATTACGATGGCTAGTGCTGTGAATTGTTATAGTTATGAATGGTGTAACGAGAGCTAAAAAAATTAAATGTTTAATCTGCATCATATTGATCGCAAGGGAAAATGTGTTTTCAGCTTTTCAAATGCGAGTTGTTTTTCGCTTGCTTTCAAATGTACTGATTAACTATATTTTTTGGATGGGGACCGACATTCAAATATGTTGCATCATGATGATCTATTTAGAAAATATAGCATGAGATTAATCTTTTGCCTTGTACAGTCGGATTGTAACATTGACAGGTTTGTGTGATTCCTTGCGTTTTCTAATTGTATGTTTTTCTCCCAAAGGGTGGAAGTTATGTACTCCCGATGCGTTGGCAAGGAATTCCAGTCTCTCTATGGTGTTCCAAACCTGCCTCACCTCCTGCCTCACCTACTGCCGCACCTCCTGCTTCCAAAACGACTTCCCCCAATTCCCCTGTAGCTCAGATGCCTCAAAACCCTCTGATGCCTCAAAACCCTCTGATGCCTCAAAACCCTCTGATGCCTCAAAACCCCCAGATGCCTCAAAACCCCCAGATGCCTCAAAACCCCCAGATGCCTCAAAACCCTCTGATGCCTCAAAACCCTCTGATGCCTCAAAACCCTCTGATGCCTCAAAACCCTCTGATGCCTCAAAACCCTCTGATGCCTCAAAACCCTCTGATGCCTCAAAACCCTCTGATGCCTCAAAATCCCCAGATGCCTCAAGACCCCCAGATGCCTCAAGACCCCCAGATGCCTCAAGACCCCCAGATGCCTCAAAACCCCCAGATGCCTCAAAACCCTCAGATGCCTCAAAACCCTCAGATGCCTCAAGACCCCCAGATGCCTCAAGACCCCCAGATGCCTCAAGACCCCCAGATGCCTCAAGACCCCCAGATGCCTCAAGACCCCCAGATGCCTCAAGACCCCCAGATGCCTCAAGACCCCCAGATGCCTCAAAACCCCCAGATGCCTCAAAACCCCCAGATGCCTCAAAACCCCCAGATGCCTCAAAACCCCCAGATGCCTCAAAACCCTCAGATGCCTCAACACCCTCAATACCCTCTGATGCCTCAAAACCCTCTGATGCCTCAAAACCCTCTGATGCCTCAATTCCCCCTGATGCCTCAAAAACCCCAGATGTCTCAAAACCCTCAGATGTCTCAAAACCCTCAGATGTCTCAAAACCCTCAGATGTCTCAAAACCCTCAGATGTCTCAAAACCCTCAGATGTCTCAAAACCCTCAGATGTCTCAAAACCCTCAGATGTCTCAAAACCCTCAGATGTCTCA